TCGAGGGGTGAAAGAAGTCATTTGTGGGGGGGGGGACTGCTTCATGGAAGCGTCGGACTCAGAATCTGTCTGTAGGCTTTAGGGCGGAAGGCTTTTAAAAATTTTAAAAACTTTTAAAACCATAACACCTGCGAAGGAGGCTGTGCGCGCGCTTGCTTGCTTGTTTGCATATGTGTGCGTGGAAAGATGGGGCACATCTGTCCTGAATGATCAAGGAGATGCGCCAGGGTCGACCCAAGACATTCCTCTGCCTGAGGCACAGCCATGACCGCAGGCACCCTCCCCCGCCCCCTACTTCACAAAGGCGCCTCGTACTTTTGATGGGGGCGGGGGTCACATTAGTTCAAGGCTTTAAACAGAACATCCTGTGCCTAGTGCTTACCTCTGCTTACTTACTTCTTCTGATCTAAAAAAGTCAATTAAGGTAAGATTTGGAGATCCTTTTGGGAGGTGGAGGTTCTGCATTGTTTAGGGTTTTTTTGGCCTCAGCTTCCTCCCGCTGCCCATCCTTAGGTACAGCCTGTCTAATTTGAGTGGAGAGGCTGTACATACAGAAAATCTGTCACTGCCTCCATATATTCCACTTCTATTTGCCAGGAGGTGATGGGGCCAGTGGCTGTGCAATTGTACGGTACTGTAGTTGGAGCATTCTTTGGCACTGCCCTTCTTTGGGATTGGGATGCAGACTGATCTTTTCCAGTCCTCTGGCCACTGCTGAGTTTTCCAAACTTGCTGGCATATTGAATGTAGCACCTTAACAGCTTCATCTTTTAAGCTTTTAAATTGTTCAACTGGTAATGCCATCACCTCCACTGGCCTTGTTGTTAGCTATGCTTTCTAAGGCTTACTTGACTTCACTCTCCAGCATGTCTGGCTCAAGATCAGCAACCACACTATCTGGCATGGAAGGCTTTTAAAAATCCTTGGAGATTTGTACAGATCTTCTAAATCAGATGCCTTTTCATTCATATTAATCTGGGAAGGCAGAACAGCCACAGAATCTCTTTTACAATATTGTAGAGGTTGCAATAGAGGAAAAGTTGCTTGCCTTCCACATGGGAGAAGATATATTGACTGGAAAACAAAAAATAACATGCACCCAGTATGCTACAAACATGTGTTTCTTTCACAAGCAGGGAAAATATTTCAGGTGTGTCCCACCTACCACTGTGGTGTTCATCCTTGTCTGGCCATAGCCATGGCAAATGAGTGTTGTTGTTTGTTGTTGAGTTTTGCCTGATATGCTGGCACAGACTTAATCTCTTCTGGAAGCTACTTGTGTTTTTGCTTCCGCTGTTGTCCAAAAATATTTTTCCCCCGGTGTCCTTTTAGTCTCATTATTGCCTCACTTAATAATGAATACTTGCTATTAAATCATGTGCTGAAAATAGGTTTCTGCTTAATAACTACAGTAACTGCTAAGAGGTGGGTGGGGCAAGCCAGCTAGCAATTTTCCTCCCAGGATGATCTGTCCTCTGCATACAAACACAACCCAATGTTCCCCATCAGCAAAAGACAAATCATCGGGGGAGAAAGCTGCTTGGTGGCTTTCCCCCACCCAACTCTGCTGTATTTAGCAGTTAGTTATTAAGCAGAACTAGTTCTGTTTTAACATGTAATTGAATAGCAAGTATTTATAGAATCATAGAAAAGTAAAATTGGAAGGGGCCTACAAGGCCATCAAGTCCAACCCCCTGCTCAGTGCAGGAATACAATCAAAGCATATCTGCCAGGTGATTATCTAAGTTTTTCTTGAATGCCTCCAGTGTTGGAGCACTCACCAGCTTCCAAGGCAATTGGTTCCACTGTCCTACTGCTCTAACACTCAGGAAATTTTTCCTGATATTCAACTGAAATCTGGCTTTCGTTAGCTTGAGCCCATTGTTGTGTGTCCTGCACTCTGGGATGATGGAGAACAGATCTTGCCCTCCTCTGTATGACAGCCTTTCAAGTATTTGAAAAGTGCTATCATGTCACCCCTCAGTCTTCTTTTCTCAAGGCTAAACATGCCCAGTTCTTTCAGTCTTTCTTCATAAGGCGTAGTTTCCAGCCCCCTATCCATCCTTGTTACCTTCTGGTTGTTGTGGGCTTTTCAGGCTCTTTGGCCGTGTTCTGAAGGTGGTTCTTCCGAACGTTTCGCCAGTCTCTGTGGCCGGCATCTTCAGAGGACAGCACTCTGTTACCTTCCTCTGCTATGAGAGGCAATAATGGGAACCATAATCGGTATGTAGCTGGCTGGATAGATCAGTGAGATGGATACCTGGCTATGGGAGCCAAAGGTTGAGAATTTGATTCCCCCCTGCAGCTCCTGCGAGCAGAGCCAGCCTGTGTGGCCTTGGGCAAGCTGCACAGTCCCAGGATGCTCCCAGAATAAGGGAATGGTATAGACCCAGGGTCCCCAACACCCAGTACCCCGTGGTCTTGTAGGACCGGACTGCAGAGACAGATCTCCCGACATGCCCCACGCACTCCCCCCCCATGCACAGCCACCCGCCTGCATGGCCCACCCACCCATGTGTGTGCGAGCATGGGCTTCGCCCACCTGTGAGTACACTCCACCCACCTGCAAGCACGGGAGGTGTTCCCACCCCAGTCCACAGACCCCATTCCCCCCAACCGGTTCATGGTTTGGAAAAGGTTGGGGACCACTGGTGTAAACCACTTCTGAGTACTTTCTACCTAGAAAACCCTGAAAAGGGCCACCATTAGTCAGAACTGATTTGACTGCAATACTACTACTACTACTACCACTACTACTACTACTACTACTACTACTACTAATAATAATAATAACAATAATAATAACAATAATAATAACGTTATTGTTGTTGTTATTGTTGTTGTTATTATTATTAATAATAACAACAACAACAACAAAACAACAATAACTTTATTATTATTATTATTATTATTATTATTATTATTATTATTATTATTATTATTATTATTATTATTATTATTATTATTTTATTATTA